GTTCGTATACGGGCAGAACACGCCTACGCCTACGGGCTAATCGTGTCAGGTCCCGAATCGTTCATTGTTTAAGAGGATGGGTCCTGACAAAAATGAACGAGGTCACTGCGCTCATGGTGACCTGGTTTCGACGCGCGAGGCTGCCGCGATAGTGTATCCTGACTCATACCGTTTTGTCAACGAAGTTTGCGGTGATTCCTTATCATGGAATGCTTTCCAATTCTTAGATTTATTTTCTATCGCAGTGGCAATGTTGCGAATATGTTTTGTCTTATTACTGCCTCAAAGTATTTGCTTAGTCATCAGTTAATAAATAGGCAGCATTCGTCAGTGAGCGTCAGTCAGTTGCCTCGGCCCACCATCGCTACCCAGTCGATGGATATCTTTTGGTTATGCTGAGAAGCAACCTCCTGTATCAAAATATGGTGTTATCTTGTAGAACTTCTGACCATTATTTCATCTTTTCCAGCCTGACTCATTCAACCTTACAGCAGTAAACGTGGAGTAGGGTAGTTGCCATTTGGTTCCCAACCATTGGTAACTTATCCGTCCGCTTCTTCTTTGACTGTTCCCATCTTCATGCTTTCGTTTTTGTGAAACTTATATGTCTGTACGATTTGTTGGGTAGATAGTAATTTCATTCTTAACACCAAGTAATAGTGCAAACCAGCGTTATCGAGCACTTTCCAACTTCTGTCATGGCCCTTCATGAATTTTTCCCGCAACTATTGCTCGGCCCACTTTTAGATATCAGTGGGCTCAATCTCTTTTTCCTGCTTTTCCTGCCCCGATTCGGTTATCAAAAAGGTACCTCAAAAACGTCAATCGGTGATCAACCAGCTCCGTATCGAAAAAACTTTAGAAGTGACACATGGTAGGCATATTTCCTTACAAAGATGGTTTGGGAGAATCCTTTTTGGAAAGAGCCTTTGGCTCTTGAACAAGCCTCATGGGTCATTGTCGGAACAGCAAGGGGCATAGATATGGAACAATAAGAGCTCAAAACCGGTCCGAGCAGGTGCTGCTGCTCAAAACTCCCAAAAAAGGACGTGTTTAACGACCTTCAACAGGCTGATAGCATACCGAATGGAGCACGTCTGCCTAATGCAATCAGCAGGCACTTGCTAATGGCTTAGCTACGTTGCTTTGCCTTGAATTCGGACCCCTCTTTCTCGTCATAATCTCGTTCAACTTCAGAAACCAGTTCAAAAAAGGCTTCATATTTCTGATTACTTTCTCGGGCCTACAAACCGGTTGACTACTTTGTGCTACACTTTTGTCCTGTAACCCATTCAAGGTTTTTGAAATCTTCGCAAACCGTGCCTGTAAGATAGATTGTTAAAGAGGGCAGTGAAGAACTGATGCGATAGATTGATGTCGAACTCGTTCAATGACTCAGCAGATGAAAGAAATTGTATGCCTGAAGTGTAATACAGATGGTTCACATATGGGGACTTGGTATCTTTACGATTTTGATAGCTGCTCTTTTAACCGAAACGAAATGAAAAAGGACTCCTGTATGCATAGAAAAATGCAAACCTTTTGGACCTTTCACCGTGTACTTCCATCAACGTTCTCGGTTTTGAGGGAAGCTCCTTAGGACTTTTTCATATAACTTTCCACCCATGTCGAACGCATTCAGTAGAGTTATGCAATGACAGCAACCCTTCCCATTCCCCCCCCCCCCCCCCCCCCCCCCCCACCCTTCCCCCGAATTCACCTACTATTAACCCCTTTGTAAAGATTCCTACACGCGTACAGCTCCAGGCAGGTTCATTAAGATGCGGTCCATCAAAATTAGGCGTTGGGTCACCCTGCCATATGAACTCCGTGTACTGGTGGTGTAGTGACAAACGGCGCACTATCACACGCGCATGGTCACGGGTTCGAATCCCGGATCGATGTCCGTCTGAACCAACCAACCCTTCCATCCTTCCAGGGACGACTAACTGGCATCAGGATCGTCTAATTGTAAGAAGGTAAAATCACGGCTTGTACATCGATTGGCCACCAAAGCCCTGTATGGGTCACGGACGTCGATCCCGAATCGGATACAGATCGATTCACATCACAAAATTGATTAACGACAGGACTTCAGTTTTGCGGTTGAGAAAATCAGTTTCAACGGCCATTCCCGATTGGAATCAGTTGACGGAACATTATTCCTTTTACAGTAACTGGATGAAGCGCGTTAGCTAAAATGTGGCGTCTTGCGGTACATACACCACGGCTAGCTTTACGCTTATTTAAGGCGTACTGTCAAACATTTAGGGAGACGTTCAAAATTTTGATACAAGGGGCAGTGTTTATCCGAAGGGGCCTTCTAAACACTTCTAAACAACTCCTTGGCTAGCTCCGCTTGTCCAGGTTCCATAAATGTCCGCGTCTCTATCTTGCGCCGTAGCTCTTGTTTCAAAACTTGTAAATTTGGTCGAATTCGTGTGATGACACTACTCCGACGTACCGTATTCACATTGATTTTATGAGTAATGTTTCAGGTATTACTCATTTTAAGTGGTTTGGTTACCATAAACGTATTCAACGATCCCTTCAACTGTTTATTTCAAGTGGCTGACCTCGACGGTTTGTGTCTTTACGACTTTTCGACCACGATATTTAAAGGACACACCTCAAGGTTGTTGTCGAAATTGTGCGAATTTTCTTGATTATTCATTCCTACTGCATCTTTTCGACAAATTACTCCTTCTTCAACATTTTGTCTTCTACTCAATCGATCCCCTTCAATGGTAATGTTGTTTGTATCCTTCATCTAAGTAAATGCACAAAACTAATGCTGGGGAGACAGCACGATTGCTGACAACTCCGTATCGATCCCATCTCTCACCGAATTGTTTACAACCGTTGTCGATTGCCGCTTTTTAAACCACCCACATTTTCGTTCACTGTGAGATTTTCTCAGATGCAATCCATCCATTGCTTTTATATTTGTTTAAATCTACCCCACATTGTTACAATGGTTTGCCTACAGCCTTCAATTTCAGTTTTTTCTCCACTCAGTTTTTTATAACAGATTCTTGGTAGGTTCTCAGCTAGTTAATTGCGTGTATTTCAGGGAAATACAATTGCCTTTTCAACAAGAATATTAAGTATTCAAACCAATTCATTCAGTTGATAGTAACTATAAAATACTAAGATAACTGGTCAATAGACATAAACTTTTGAAAACTCTAAAAAAAATGGTTACCTTCTATGGTATTTACTGAAACTAATAGAAGTAAGTACAGCTACTTAGTTGCCAGGCTAGAAAATAGTGATTTTTTCAATCTTTCACTGCCATTTTTGAGGGTTTTTGAATTGGCTTTACTAAATAGCCTCTAATTTTCCTTAGAAGCTTTGAATTTTCTAGTAATTTACAGTTAAATTTGCAAGTCTATTGCAGTCCGTGTTACTTTTAACCTGCCAGGTTTTAAAAATAGTACTTGGGCGCACTTTCTGAGTTAACTACATCTTCATGCCGTACTCTTTGAAGTCCCTTCAGCTCGTCATTCGTCAACAACTGTCCTTATTTTGTCCAAGTGCGTCTCTCTCGTCATTTTTCTTCAGCTGGATTTTTACTTTCCAAGCTGTTTGGCTGAGGTTTTTGAGACTCCCTATTTTGCTGACACTTTGAGCTTTAGCCGTCTTCGGCGTGGAAGACGAAAATCACGTAGGGAATAATTTATTTAGGCGCTGTGTTAACCTACCGAGGAATTTCAAGGGGGTCGTAAAGAACAATTGCGAAGTCGAGAACTATAAAACCAACTAACCTTCAGGTCAGACGACCTATACGGTTCACCAATCACCCTATGCTGGAGAAAATGTGTTTTAAATAGGATTACCGCTGACCCTGAAATCGCCGCAACGTAGGCCGACGAGCAGCTCTTGAAATTTTCGGTCGTACTTCGACACTTCAGTGGGTATGCCATTTCTTCAGGCTTACCATTTTCTGATTCCTCGAAAATCGTTGTTATCTTCTTTGTTTAAGGCATTTAAATGTTCCCATTCAACATGCATGAAAAGCACTTTTAATGTGGCTGCTAAAAATATTTCTCTGAGTTGTTTCAGTGCAGCTGTCATAGTGATCTCGAAAGATTTCAACTTTTTGCATCGGTCTTCAGTGTTTCCAAGATCTTTAGTTATTTATAGTCGTAATGAAAGTATAAACTCGTTTGCAGGTGCAAAAACAGCTCCGGTTCTTGTCACTATCGGGTTGAAAGAATCTTTGTGGCAGTCAGTCCTGCCGGGTATCCTCGCATATTCCATAATTTATTTATTAAATGATGCATAGGAGATGTTTCCGCTGGCTGCTCTTCACCCATAATCTCGATATTCAAAATTCCTACTTTTATTATTTTATGTGCTTTTTATAATTTCTTGTTCGTCTATAGTTTTTAAAAACCTTGTCTTTCATGGTTTTCCAAGCAGGTAAAAGCTCCTTGGGTAGCCATCAGCGGAATCGGCATTGATCCTTATCGTGTCTACGCAGCAGCTATCTCCTGAATGTGTTAGCGTTGGATTTTTTTTCGAAACATCTTTGAATGGAGAAATCCACATTTAAAAGCGTAGGAGTTGGGGGCGAGTTCAGGGTCCTTTAGCCAGGAGCCTTCGCAAGTGCAAGTTGCATACGACAGCTAACGAGAATTACAGTTTTTTTNTTTTTTTTCTTTTTTATTTGCTCGTATTTGGAGGTTTGAATTATACTTGCTGTATCGTAACCGAATTCTTCGTTTTGAAATCTATTGTATTAAAAAGCGCGTCCAGATATCTCAGACGTGATTGTGGAATCACAGCAAGGTTGGTGCGCGTCGGCGCGCACAGGGATAGAACTTCAAGTATCATCTCTAGTGTCGAAAACAAAAAGCCGAAACGGCAGCCGAAAAATGCGGCACCGTCTTGGTTGTAGCTCCACAAGCGCATTTGAGACATCTACACGCCATCTTGTCTTGACTGAAGTATGAACCTGATCGCTTCTAGATTAGTCTCGAAGGGACTTGGTCACTATGGTGTTCGAGTCCCTGGTGGCAGATCTTCTAAATCGCTTCCTTGGCGATTTTGTCGACAACCTCGACGCCTCGCAACTTAACATTGGCATTTGGGGAGGTGAGTTGAATAAACAAAGTTTTGTTGTTTTTCATATTTACACATCTTATTATGCGTTTCCTGAAACCTGTTTCCCCAAACCGGGCGAGTGAGGGAATAATATATTCCGAAATAATATTATTCGATTCAGTTATCGATTGTTAAACTGAGCAACTGGAAGGGGGATTTTTATGGTATTGAAGAAAGTTTCTTACCCGCACAAAATGAATAGAATGCCGAGTAGCGCGCGCACAACTTACAGCAGGTTTGTCCCCACTCAAAATAAATTGGGGTTCGTTACAGTCTTACAGTTCTCATATTTTTGAAGTTTTGAATTACGGTAAGAAGAAATCGACGAGCAAACCGAACGACGAGTGTTCAATTCGAAAAAAGCTAAAACTGCTTTTTTTTTCTCCAGTTTTTTCGAAGAAAGGGAGCAAAGTATCTGGTCCTACTGCAGGGGTAAAGTGTTACAAAGTGGTCGTTGAATTACGATATGTCCCATTTCTCGCATCTGTTCCAGAGTGTTTTTGTTTGGATTTATCGTTGCTGCCCCATCTTTACACATTGTCGTTCTTTGTAACCACTTAATCGCACTGGATTGATGTACACTTGTGTTTCCCGAACTTTGTCTTCTCTCCTTCATTTTTTCAAATAAGTACTCGCGGTTCTTTCGATATAACCCGAGGGTTCTACGGTTTTTCTCCTGTGTCAAATCAAAAATAAATCAAAAAAAAGGCAGAAAGCTATGGATAATATTGGAATATTTTTAAACCCTCCCTACGTTGAGGTCTGAGTTTAAAAATAAAGTAATATACGAGCGTGCACTGCCCTTGGAAGGTTGGAAGACACAGATTTGTTGAAATGGACTTGCTCTGATTTTTTGAAAAGATTAAATTAGGATCAGGTATAGCCTCCTCAGAGACAGATCCATAGCCTTGTGCAATTCAGCCCTCGTCGTCTTTTAATACTTACTGTTTTCATTCTATTTTTGTTCCTTTGCAAAAATCAGATTTCCCACTACAGAGCCCCACCTATGAGTAAGCTTCCGTCATCACATGCTCGCTTGACTCGCTTGATTAATCAGTCAACGAACTGAACTATGATGTTTTCATTCTTCATTCTATCAAAAATACGAGCAACATTCTGGTGATGGAGGAAGTATGAGCTCATTCGCTGACCCTCCCACTTATTTTGCTAAATTTTTTAGGATTATACTTACTATTTATGACCGCTTCAATGCACCCATCTCATCTCACTCTTTCAGGTGATGTGAAATTGGAAAATCTAGAAATCAAAGAAACTGCACTAGATGATCTCGATCTACCTATTAAACTAAAATTTGGCTACTTATCTACCCTAATACTCAAAATACCATGGAAGAATCTGTACAATGAACCTGTGATAGCCAACATCGATGGTCTACATCTTATTGTGGTTCCTAACAAAGGTGTCGTATACAATGAGGAAAAGGTATGTTTTAATAAATTTCTATTGTTTGATCTAATCGTAGTTCGGCCTATACAAGTCAAAAGCAGCTTTCACTAGGCGTGTGAGCGTTTGTAATCTAATTTGTCCTCTGTCGGGTCCTAGTGAAGATAATTCAAGTCTTGCATGTGTTCATTTTGAACTCTGTGTAAGAATTATCATGTGGTCGCTTTGAATCTGGCTGCAAGGCATATAATGATGTTACAAACACTGCTTTCATACCCTACTCTTCACAAGTGCTCAGACTAAACGAAAATAGTGTTTATATTGAAAATGTTCACTGATGTCCCGATGTTTTTCTCATTTTTTGTCAGCGAGAGTGAGTCATGATTCTAAACTGATACGAATCATCAAAACACACACGTAGAAAACCCTGAGCGTGTACTATCGATAGGGTTTGTCTATTTCTCTACACTCTGACAAAGTTTGCTCATTGTACACGGGACGGGCCAAGTTTGGGAAAGTACCCAGCAGTTCGACTTTCAATGTGTTTATTTTTTCCAATTTGGAGACTACATTGGGAAAATACGATGAGAAAAGCTACGATTCTAGGGTGGTTGATTTCGTCAAGATAAGAATTTCGAGAGGATTTGGCTGTTCCATCTTGCACCAGTACCGGTTTATCCTACGAGGGCAGTAGTAGGTTAAACCGGTACTGCTGTAGGATACACGATAGTGGTTCTAGTAGGGTGATCGTCCCTCACATTGAGTGGAAGATGATAATCGACAATGCTTCTCCTTTGTTACTTCATGATTGTTGCGGAGCCTTTTAGGCCGTTTCTCTATGTACTTCTGTGAGTCGTATCGATGATAGAATGTCTTAGAATGAAAAATCTCTCTTCCTGAAGGTTTCTTTCAGAATCATTTCGCATTTTTGAAACACGTCTATTCTCTTTAAGACATTCTTCCTTTGTGATTTCGAGACTGTTTCTGTTTCTTACTCACGTGAATTTAATGAGTTGTTTCAAGGCGAAGAAAAATGCGGCCGATATCAAGCAAAAGACACTGGCTCGATTGGAGGAGGCTCGCAAAAATCGCCGAAAGCCGCCAGATCCAGCTCAGGACTCGTTTGCAGAGAAAATGGTCACTCAAGTGATAAAAAACTTGCAGGTAATTTCTTTTCCTTGCTCAGCCAAGTTTATTCGCCAACTAGCTTCTTGCGTTTCTTTCTTGAACTAGGATCGTTCCTCTTCTTAAAGGTAACTGTGTCTAATATCCATGTCCGTTTTGAAGATAAGTATACAAATAGACATCGTCCCTTCGTGGCTGGAATCACCCTCGAAAGGCTTGATTTCCAAGTAAGTGGGCCTACTTTTCTCCAATTCAGTCCATTTTTCCATATCTTTTCCATATTCAGACAACGAACGAGAACTGGATCCCTACGATTCACAGAGATGTTGTTAAAATTTTCCATAAACTTGTTCTGCTTGACAACTTGGCTGTCTACTGGAACTCGGCTGCAGAATTGTTCTCTGATCTGTCCGATAAAAAGGAGATCCGTCGATTACTCCAAGCCACAATTCACAATGGGAACAATAAGCCTGAGGGTTACAAATACAGTGAGTTATGCTGATTTGCAACTAAAAGTGTTTGGATCTACCTCTCCAAGACGACTGATCAAAAAGGCGTAAGGGATTTGGGGATGACTGTAATGGAGTGACATGGCTCTATCTTAGGTTTTTCAAAATGAATGAATCTACCTGCTGTTAATGTTGAGAACATTCTATAGATTCCTTTCTAATTTAGTTCTGGAGCCGATTAAAATGCAAGCGAAGTTGAAGTTGAATCAAAAGCCAGAATCTGATGGAACGGACTGGAAAACGCCAAAGGTCGGTGTTTTGAATGTGTTTCGCTTTTTCTGCTGTCTAATCGAATTGCCCATTCCTTTTAGATTGATCTCTCTGTCGATATGGAAACATTAGCATTAGCCATTGGCAAGTTCCAATACCAAGACATCTTGCTGTTTCTTGAAGCGCAAGAAAGGTATTACCTCAAGGTTTTGCATGGATTTGATTGTTTGCAGCTGTTTTTGTGGCATGGATAGCCAACATTGGATTTACTTACCTATTCATCACATGCTGAGTTTTTTTTCAATTTCCAGGTTCAATCTCGCAACACAATATCTCAAATACCGCCCGAATCTCAACGAATATCATGGCCATTATAAGGAATGGTGTGTTGTCGTATAAAATCTTGAAATGAACATTTGAGCTAAAACTGAGGCATAGGTGGCATTTTGCCTACACGGCTGTACTGGAAGAGAAAGTTCGTCGACGAAGAAATAACTGGTCATGGCCTAGAATGCGTGCCCACAGAAATCTCCTCCGTGAGTATCGAGACGCATGGTTACACGTACAGACTACAAGAAACCCCTCATCAGAGTTCACGGACCTCATAAAGGTTTGTGAACATTGTGCTACTTTTAGATTACATATATCACTTGTACATCTCCTTATTTTTCTGTCTCATAACCCTTTCATTACCCCTACTTGTTATGGAGCCAATTCAGCTGCTTGACGTGGATGAAATCCCTTTTTTGTGTACAGCATGCCAAAAATAATTTTTAACCCATTGCGTACCGCAGTGTTTTGCGCTAGCTGCCGCATGTGCCCGGCGTTTCTTTCAAAATCGACGCAGGCGACGTGGTTCACGGCGTGCAGCACGCAGCCACCCAGAGCGGTTGTTTGAGCGAATCGCAAAGTATGGGCTGATCGAACTTTAATAAAACTCTAGAGTGATTTTGGACGAAAATGCGGGCGCGAAGAGGCAGAGGGGCGTGCTTCACCATGTGCAGCACGCGGTACGCAATGGGTTAAAGTGTTTTTTGGGTTGATTGACGTCATAATTTTTGCTTCTAGAAAGCAGAAGAAAAACTGGATGTTTTCAATGTGAATATAGCACGGCAGCAGGCTGAAATGGATATAGACCGTAAGGGATTGAAAAGAGTCGAAGATCAACCACAAGGATGGCTTGCGTGGGGAGCAAGTTGGTGGGTGTAGTCTTCCTGTTATATAGTAAGCTTATTAGTAGGTACTGAGTTCAGGTTCGGAGGCGGAGACAGTGCTAAGCCAGCTCACAAGAAATCACCCAAAGATTTCGCTGCCCAGTTCAATGAGGCGATGACACCTGCAGAAAAGGAAAAGCTCTTCGAAGCCATTGACTATCAGGTGAGTCAACGCTGTTTGATTTTTCAAACTTTGTCTGTTTTATAAAAACTCATTCATTCAAGGAAAATATGCCGCCCACTAATTATCCCAAGGAATTTGTGGAGAACAGGGTTGACTTCCGTTTGAAGCAGGTATGAGCTGACGTCAGTTGTCTGTGCTGAGTGGAACATACTCGAATTCTTATGTTCAGGTGGCGATAATTGTTGATGGTGCTGTATCGCTCAGTCTGCTCGACTTGAAGGCACATTTGGAGCAGCGTCCGAGCGCAAGTGCCATAAAGTATGCCGTTTCCAGGAAAACTTCCCCGATTTCAACTTTAACCGTTGTTTTCAGCTTGCTGTCGTCGATCCAAGAGCTCAAAATGGACGGCTGTGGAACAGAAATGCTACGAGTAAGAGATCCATCAAAGCCTTGGTTGAAAATGTGTGTGGATACCAATCCACTTCATGGAAAATACGACCAGTCGGTGGAATTAGCAATTGCTCCTATCAACTTGAAGTATCATGCGCCTGCTGTGAACGCTGCTGCTGATGTATGTTTTACCCTGTTGGAAACCTTTGAAGGCAGGCTTGTAGGTGATGATCGCCGTATTGTAGGTATTCAAACCTCCTGAGTCGGTCAAACTGAACCAGTTGGCTGCAGCCGCGATGTCTCGGTATGAAGAGGTGAGTTCTTGCGTTTTTGGATATGTTAACGTAGCTTTCTGAACGCCATTCCCCTCCTCTGGGACGGCTTTATCATACTATATTTCGAGTCGATGTCTGCTTTGAAGAAGAATATTCGCGGGTCTGTACCTATTACATGTATAGTAGTGTTTCAGGTCAAAGCACGCTCTGTAACTGGTCTGGCACATGCGGTTGAAAATCGCTCTCGTCTTGTTTTGGATATTCAAATTCAACCTGCTACGATCTATGTTTCCGAAGGCGGCATTTACGATCCTCAGAAGCCAACCATTCTTGCCGATCTCGGTCATCTCAGTATCACAACGGTGGAAAGTGACCCTGTAAGTGCTCCTCTAGTTTTTTAGTCATCAACAAAGAGTTAATTTCACTCTTCTCACCTAATGTAGGGGTTCTGCGTATGCTTCTTAAAGTTCTTTCTGGGTATCAATAGTAATTAAGGATGGGCTGTGTTTGAAAATTCTTAGATTTTAAAAAAAAGTGAAATGTCGTTGAGGCAATTGTAAGGATGAATTAGTATACGAGCGCCCTTTCAGGAATTTATTATGATGGTGAAATGCCTTTTTCCATTTTAAATTGCTAAATAGTTGATTCAAGCGGAAGCGCTGTTAGACTCAAGTCGCTGTTTGTTTTTTTTTTGAACCGATTTGCTTTAGAAAGCTATAGAGGGGCAGGACAAACTTCATCAGCTGATGGATAAAGCGTATGACAAGTTCCGTATGAAGCTCAGCAATGTGGTGGTTTGTATGGCGGATGTAAGTCTTGTAGACTAAATACCTTTTCTCATTAAGACTCAATATAGGTGTGGCATTTAGGATGTAAAATCAGGCCGCGCGGCTTTATCAGATAAGGATAGTCCGCTGCATGTTCTAAAGCCAACAGGACTTGATATTCAATTCCATAAATGTTCGATTGACGATCTGAGATTACCAAGGTAAGCATTCATTGGATGAGTTTTTTGATTTAGGCATCCTGCCAATGGTTTTTTCCAGGATGCGCCTAATGGGTGCGTTGCCAGATATTGTTGTGGGAATATCAGACACTAGATTACTACTTTTAACTCGAGTCTTGTTGTCAATTCCAACGCCAGAACCCGATCCACAAGATGCTGCTGCTGCTGCTGTTGAGGAAAAGGTGGCTGAAGACATTAATATCAAAGCACGCGCAAAAATGAAGACTATTATGGAGGCGCAAGAGGTGAGTCTTTCATATGATCTTTGTTCAGGACAAACCGATTTTTTAGTAGGATTGATTTTGTTTTGGAGCTTCCCTTCGTTCATTCGTTTCTACAAGCATTAGTGGTATTTCCAGATAGAAGCAGACGAAGACAAAAAGGAAGAAGGAAAGGAGGCAGATGCCGAGAAAGCCAAAAGCTCTGAGCAACAAGTTCAAGTTGAATTGGACCTTCACTTGGATCAGGTGATTTTTTCGATATATCGCCTCTTTATATTTGTTTCTCAAAAGAGTGTATTAGCCGTAGCGGTTCGAGATGTCCGTATTCTGGTGAATTGAGCTAGGTTATTCAGATTGGTCTTGTTGTCATGCGAGGAAACGATGTGTTGTGTGATGTCTCTATTGTTCGAATGGGATGCAAGTTACAGATGAGAACATTCGACATGGTTGTGAACGCTGAGGTATGCTATTCATAGACATTTGTCAAATTTTTCGCCTTGCTTATAATTAATTATGGATTGGTTCATTTGAATTTAAAAATAGTGTCGAATGAGTATCCAAAGGCTTGCATTTGAACAGCTTTCTTACTTCCTCGTGGAATCGGGAGCGAATCAGTCTTCTAAAAATCGAAAGCGATTGTTGACTGAGGAGGGTTACGCTCTTATTTCTTTACTTTTACTGTATTCTTTGATTGAATGTGAGAGAGGATTAGTTGTAGCCCTTTCCCTCACATTTTGAACGTAATCAGATCTTCTCAATTGCTAGTGATCGTCCGCATAGAATTAAGGTGCACACGCTTTTTACGTTTGTTTTTTTGGGCTTTCGAGATTGTTATGAAATTGAAGAGAGGCATTCTTCTTCATAATAGTTGTGTATATCAAAATGTTTTGTTTGTGGTGAGGTCAAGTTGAGGGTAAACATTCCAGCTGGGTGCAATACGTGTTTCGATGCCACTGTTCAAGTCCTTGGATCCTAACAAGAAGAACTTATACATCATCGATAACAACGAAGAGGAAGGGTCTCTCATGACTTTGAAGTTTGTTCAGGTATGATCTAGGATATAGTCGTTTTTGGCCTCAATGCATTCATAATCAGTACATTATTTTGAAGTGAGGTTACCATTTCCAGGCTAACCCTGAATCACCTTTCTTCGTAACTGAATACCATTCAACAGAGCAGGCAATTGATTTCAAGTTCAGAAAATTGAATATAGCCCTTCATCAGGTCAGTAACAAAATTTATTTTAGAATAATCTCTGTAAATCTAATTGGTATTATTATTGTTCTAGGAAGGTTTGATGGAGTTGAAAATGTTTGGAGAAAAAATGCAATCGGAGATCAATGCTCTACAGAAAGGAAAAGAAACCCAGGTCGACGATGCCATCCAGACTGGGCGCAAGCTCAGTCGACAAATTAGCTCCAGGTGCGTAGTTAATTAAATTCAACCGAATTGTTGTATCAAAATTGAATGTCTTAGCGTGCAATCTCTGGCGTCCGTCCAGAACCAAGCTCAGAAGGTTGGAACGGGTGCAAGGAAGAGACGTGTGCGTAGTGTTTCAACGGAAGAGGAGGATCGCAACATCAAAATGCGGTTGCAAGCATCCATTGGTAGTTTGGCTTTGGTGATCGGGACCGAAAAAGCCATCGATACATTGGTTGCTATTGAAAATGTAAGATCTATGAAATCATATACATTAATCTCCTTGTAGGTCTACAGCTTCTGGTCGCCGATACCCTTTGATATGGAGATCCAATCATGCCATCTATTTCAGATTAACACTGAAGTGAAAATGACAGTTAAAGCGATGGATGTAATTGCCACACTGAAAACTGTGAGAATGGAGGATATGACCGAAGGAGCACTCTACCGGTAAGATGGCTGCAGCTGTAATAACGAGTTTGGCCTTAGTTTTCCAAACACCTTGGTTTCTTAAAGCTCAGAGGTATGGGCGTGCATTACGCTAAATTTTCGCTTTTACTTTAGCAAGCTGCTCTCGGTGACTGGTGATAAGGAGATGTTGCGATTTGAAATGAAACAGTACCAGCGTAATGAAGAGCAAAAGAAACTCATGCGACCGGATGATGTTGATATGAGAGTAAAGGTTAGTCAACTTCTTATAATTTTTGAGTCCTAGCTGTTGGTAAAATTCTTTTTTTCTAGGTTCGATTAGCTGAGCTGCGTTTTGTGTTCCTCAATCTATGGCTTTCTCGTCTGATGGCTTGGAGTGCACCGTTCCAAGAAGAAGCAGCTAAAGCGGCCGCAGCTGCTCAAGCGGTATGTGAATCATTCCTTGTTGTTGGTTAATGTTTTAATCACGAACGACGACTTGGTTTTCCGCCAAAAATGATATACCCTGAAGGGGCGAAAGATTCTATGCCTTAGACCCCTTCCTGCGGTTTTATCTCGGGCTACTGTAGCGCTGTTACTTGATACTACTGTATCCATTCCCTACCCCCTCACATTCTTATTCATTGACAGCTGTCAATTCAAATGCCGAATGTGACCAGACTTAGCCGTAGTTTTTCCTATCTCATGGTGGTAGTTTCGCAACATACTATGAATGAAGCTGAATTTTCCTTCCCTTGCGTTCTTCCTCAAAGTCATAAAATTCACAAACATTTATCACAATCTACCCATACGTTATCGTTTCGGGTTTAATTCCGACTATCTTCAGGCGGCATCCGAAAAGGCTCAGGAAGCTGCTCAGAATGTGAAGCAGATGATGGCTGAGAATCCGCCACGCATTCAGCTTGACGTACAACTTGAGGCACCCGTCATATTGATCCCACAGCTATCTGTCAGCCGTAATGTAATCGTGGTTGTGCTAGGTATCGCTTGCTCGACCTTTTCTTCACATTTTCTCCCATTTTGAAGCCGTTTTTATTGAGTTAGTAAGGTATCTTCTACATACGTATGCTGAAAATGACGAAACTTTCAGGTAGACTCATTGTTAACAATCATATCACCGGAGATGCAAAGAATTCCAAAATTATAATTGATCGAATGGAGGTGAAGCTACTGGATATGAAATTTGGAATGTCAGTTTTATTAATATCTGCACAGTTTTAGACTTTGATGCTGGTATCGTACGTTTTGTGCTATTTTTTGATTTCAGAGGTACTGTAGATGAAGATGCATCGAAGCTTATGGGTACATGTGATATACTGCAGCCATTGTCTTTCAATATTGCTGTTCATAGGTGAGTTTCCTTCAGTTCATTCAACGAGTTGCCCTTTTCATGGCCCTTCTCTATGGTAATCTCTTTTTTATTTTAAAGTCTCGAAGTCTTTTGACGTTATGAACAATTTTTTGGGAACAACTTCCAGAATTGTAGCGAAGTGCATGTGCACCCTATGCAGTGAATCTTCGAGACGAGCCTTACACCGTTCACTTGGCGGGATAGAAGGCTAATTCTAATGGGCGGATATTGGTTAGACATAGAATATGCAGGTCTTTTGTTGGCTTGCAAAAGTCTAGCACTTAGTTAATGATGAACGCGTACTGATCTGTACATCGTATATGTAGAAACTAGGTAGTTAGCTTATTCTGGCTTTACATCAGAAACGATGCACACTCATGGGGCCATATTTGTGTTAGAGTGATTGTAGAACCCAGTCAATCACCAGTAGGCATAATACCCTTGTTGTCCCTCAGAGAAGCACATAAAGGCCAAATTTTTATTTTCGTAAAATTCATCCAATGCTGGTGATCTTGTTTTGCTTTTAATTTGTTGCTATTTTTAATCAATTTAGGAATCTGGTGTTCTCTATCTGTAAGGATCTTCCTGAGATTACCGTAGATGCACAAATTCCCTCACTTGCTGTAAATATGTCGGAGAATGATTACAGCACTCTGATGCGGGTTAGAAATTAGAAATTCCTTTTATTTACCTTTCAAATCTAGTTTGTTCAAGTTCACCTGGTACTGTTTAAGCTACATAGTCAAGATGTGTACCGCATACATGTTTATTAGAAAGTTTTTCAGACTCTCAGCGGAAATCTCGCGGAAGGAAACGTTGTTGATGAACCACCACCTCCAATGCCAGTTTCCACGATATGCGAAACGGCCGAAGAGGCAGAGACGGAGGATAAAACAGACGAGAAGGTCGTTTCGATTCTCCTTGATCCAAACTTTTTTTTGCGATCAAAGAGCAGCATTTTTTTAGGGTAGCAAGGAGAAAAAGAAAACTACTACAACCACTGGTTCCAGCGCTTCAAAGGAACCAAGCACGCCTGTAGAGGTAGCAAAGCCGAGAATTGTTTTTCAGTTCTCCATGGATCAGATCGTGGCTGTGCTATATACAGGTGAGACTTGTTTACCATCACTTTCTAGAATGATTCGTGAGACATGCGCCTGAAACTAAGGTTTACGCTGATGTTGGCCGTTGTGTGTTAGCCACTAAGAAGGCGAGGGCAAGCGGGGTCTCGGTAGTGTAAGGGATAAGAGCACGGTCCCCGGAAAGGACAAGTACGGGTTCGAGTCCCGTCCGAGACTGAAGTTTTGTCCACAAATCACCATTCTTGTGAGATTTTTTCAAATTAATTATGAAATTTTGAATCGCGAAATGCTTCTCATCGGAATCCTGGTAAGTTACATATTTGTTTACTGATTTCAGAATGTACTGATTTTTTTGAATAGATCTATTATACATTGAAGTTCATCATCTTAACTTAGGTGGCAACGAGCATTGTACTACCAAACGGCCGGATGAAAATGCTTTCGCTTCGATGAAACTACTCGGTCTGAAGCTCAGTGGTTCGATCAAGGTAGGTGTTTCGGTTCCTGTAGTCGTTTGAATCAACATTCGTGTTTAAATGCGCGTTTTGGGACCCTGATCCCATGTTTTTACAAATTGAGAGTAGTATCTACTAATAATTCACATCTCTATTGCGTCCACGGCGACCTAATAAATAATTTTTCTGTGATTAGCTGTAAGGCGCTTTGCTTACATAAGAAGTAGTTTTTTGCACAGTTTTTGTCGCATCCATTACTGTTCCAGTTAATAGCACACGTTGGCAAAGTAAACAAAATGTTCAATAGCGGTAGAAGTCTGTATAGCCAGTTGTGTGTCATTAATTATTCTTCATCTGGAGCTTGGCTATTTGGTAACAGGTTCACAAGGGGATCAGTCTCTCAGTTGTGTTTATACTAGGATGTGTGAGACGTGATTATGGTGCTTCCCTCCCACCTCTCATAGTGAATGTCTTATTGCAATATATTCCGCCGCAGCGCATTTTTCAAATGACTGCCCATATTAAGATGGCCGTGGACTCCGTTTAATACTTAGAAAGCGGCTGCTGAACACTTTTATAGCCTTGGTAGAATAGATTATTCGAGTTTTATTACAAACCTCTAAAATTCGAAGTTAAGGAGGACAACTCGATGAATGTGGCACTATCAATGAACACTTTCACGATGTCAGATGAACGTCATGCTCAGACTAAGATTCATCAGCTGCTCGATAAGAAGTCGAGCAACGAGAATGAACGGTTCATAGCGTTGGCGTTTTCTCAGGATGCTGAACAGAACAAAAATGGTTAGTGTTGAATCAGCGAAAGTACGATTTTCTGATATCTTTTTGAAGCCTATGGCGGGTTTGGAAGGAGGAAGGTTGTTGTTCAAATTCCTTATTTCAGTGAAGCTGAAAATGACGGCATTCTTTATCTGTCTGTGCCCAGAGTTCTTGGGTTGTCTCTCACGTTTCTTCACTGTAACCCAATCTCCTGAGCAGATAGAGTTTGAAAAGGATGCTCTAAAAGCCGCGAAAGCGAAGCAGATCAAGCAAGGCGCTTCTGACACCGCTACTTCGAAGGAGGCTGTCAAAACACCGACAATGGTTCTGGATTGTAACATGCAGGTGAGCGATAGCCGCATTCACTCCCTTTAGCGTATATTACCGACAACCGCCTCTCTTCGATTCTAGGGAGTCGAAGTCATCTTGGTTGAGAATTCAATGGAACCCGATACTTCTCAAGCTCTGATTTTGTCGTTTAACATGAAAATGGTTGCGACTCCAGTAAGTTTTAGTCAAATTTCTTCCAAGTTTATTAATATCTTTTGATTGAGCAGAGAATTTCCTTTTTCCTTTTCCTTCTATCGAGAAATATGATATCGTTGCAGTCTCCGAAGGAACAAATCATGAGAGGAGGTGTAGAGGATTTGGCTATCTTTAGCTCTTACTATGCTCCATGGAGGAGGAATGAAATAACTTATGAGGTATGTGGGTGGTCTTTTTGTTTTTCTGTCTAATCTTCGGTTTGAAGTGAACTTTTTTGTTTTATCTTCCCCCTTTTCGAGGTGCGAGCTGAAAATATCTAGGGAGATGAAAGCACATGGAAATTAAATCTGCATTCTTTTTCAAGTATACAGAACTGGAGCCGAGCAATCTTATTATGTTGTTTAAATCGCAATTGTTTGTAGGTGCTAAAACCTATGAATATTGGGATCGATATGACTGTAGACAACTCAAAAAGTTCGACCTATGTGGTATTGAAAATGTCACCTATGGAAATTCGAATGGCCCCTTCGATTATACGTCTTCTCTCGACCGTGAATGCTGAATTTGCGAAGAGCAGTGCAGTGGTAGGTTCGAGCAGACTTTGAAATCTTGCCCTGTCTTTGGACAGTATCTAAGTTGAGCTATCGTGGTGTTTCTTTTTAGGGTGATACTAGTTCGTCATCGTCTGATAAGAAGCTACCGTCGTTCCCCAATTACTGGCGAGCTAGGCGTATTGAACAGAAAAAGTATGTAAGAGAAGATTTTGGACAAATTTTAATTTTATGGAGCATTTAATTTGCCGACGTTCTTGACTCGTTCTTGAACTGTTGATTTGTGTAAGATGGCAGTAAGAGAAAAGCAGTATGTTGAATTTGACTCAATGAAGGGTATAAACTAATGTTTTTCGGTTAATAAATCCCACTTGGCGTGTATGCCCCCTTCCCCGGACTAGACTTCCAATAAGAGTTGCGGTTTAAGTTGGAATGTCTCTAGATCAGGTAGAATCGCTCTTGATGACCAGCCAATTCACAAGTCATTCCCTTAATCATCCCAAACTTTCCGCTCACCAACTAAATAGGTTCGAGTATGAGGCGGGGAGGGAGGGTTATGCCCAGTTTGTAAAGTTGTTACTACCGATGTACTGGTATTCTTTAACAATGAGCACACCCCTGTCTTCCTGTTTCCAAACTAACACTGCTTTATTCAATCCAGCTCCCTGACTGCCGAAAGTTTCAGTTTTCATTTTCGTGCCCATCTTTGAGCTCGGCAAGAACTTTTCCGGGACCTTTTGTGCTTGATAAAACTTTTTTCCTTGTACTAACTTTGGTTGAATACATTAATCTTTCCCAATATTTTTCTTTCTTTCTTCTTGAATTAACCCCTTCAGGTTCTGGTTTTATGATGTTCCAACGGCTGAAGAAGCTTGTTCGGAAGAGCGGGATCCTTCTGAAGCTCTCGATCTACCTAAAGCCTCTATAGAGAATGCCCATGTTGAAATCGAACGCATGAACTTTACCCTTGAAGCGGGATCTAGCGCGGTCAGTTGAAAGTGCACTCTTCTACTGCTTTAATTAGTTCCACATAACAATGTGTTACTTGAGCTTCTCTGTCTTTCAACTCCTTGTAAGTCCTGGAGTTTTGAAGAAGTGTTTTCTCCTTTCAGATTCCTGTCCCGCTGATTTTCATGCAAATGCTGGTCAAAGCTGAAGCATCCAATTGGTCATCAGCGCTGCAAGCTTCCGCTAATCTTTCTTTGCAAATGTCCTACTACAATGAATCGTTGAGGTTTGTTCGTTGGGTTTAGTATGTCGTCAACTTGTTATTAAATATTCTATGATTTGCAGCGTTTGGGAGCCCGTGATTGAGCCTGTGGAAAGCGCAACGGATAACTGGAATCCGTGGAACCTCACAATGAAGGTTTGTTCCCTGTTCACAGTCATATAGGTCTCTATTCCTGTGAGCGAGAGCTTATTGTGGTGGTGTTCAGGTCAAAGGGCGCGACAAGAACGTTCCAGGAGACATGAGCCCTGGAATGGATGTGAAGATAGACGCCGAAGATGTGATGAATCTTACTGTAACAAAAACATTCATCGTGCTGTTAAATCAAATCTCCAAGGTGAATTGCCCTTTATTTTTGCTTATTTGTTATGTGAGGTTACCATACAGCTCTTAGGAGTTTGCTAATGCTGCGAAAGAGAGCAGTCCACCTCTTAGTCGACATCTTCCTGGTGTGTCCCCGTTCCTGGTGCTCAACGAAACTGGCATTATTATCAAAGTGGCCGATTCCGATACTGTCCAGGTAGTGTACAGGTTTCTATTGAATTGTTAAAAGACTTCAGTAATATAAAATTTGAAATGCGTTTTCACACTCAATATAGAATGTGTTCCGATTATTCATCCTTCTAATTGTTTGTTTTTATTTCGAGCGCAGTTTATATAATCATTCTATAGAGTCCATGCGTGACATTGGATTTTCTGTCCGAGACCCATAGGTCCCAAAAAACCTCAGTTTTGCCCTGCAGTAATTTCCTATCTTCAGCTGAACGGGTATGTTGAAACGGCATTCTTTTAGGTAGGTGGAGATGGCGAAGAAGTCGAAGCACCGCATGGCATGTTTGTTGATTTGAAAATGAGCAAGGAAACTACAGCAAAGGCAGCGGAAGCGGTAGGGTTTGATTTCAAGAATATCCTAAAAGTGTATCCTTGTCTTCAAAGATTAGGTATATTCCTGATTCCAGTCAGACAAGGAGCGCCTCAGTTCTAACCAAACCGAGCTTAGCGCAAGCATACGGGTAAACCTTCTCGATACGGTGAGGGAGTTGAAGATCGGTCGTGCTGACAAGGTTGCCATACCTTTGCCGAAGAAAAGCGATGCCGGAAAACAGTGGAAGGTCAGTTTGGTTCTGTATCGCTTTGCTGCATAGGGCCTTTTTCCTTTTTTGTTCTCTCTCACTGTTCAGATGTTGCTTTATTTTAATAAATGAATACAGGGAAAAAGTAACTTGCGGGTTCTTTTCTGCCTGCAAGTGTAGAGGGGTTCTTTTCCGGAATCCCGGGCTCACCGTACCCGGTTCTAGTCTTTTGCATCAAAAGCAGAAGCCAAGCCCCTGAAGCAATGAACTAGAAGTAGGTGTGTGACACGCCCGGCATTACAAAAAAAAGACGGTGGTGCGAAGCTCTTGCCATAAAGAAATTGGTTGCTTATTTTTACACATGTTCACATTTGCGGACAGTGCAGGACCACGTCATACTGCGTGTAGATTTCTGACATGGCCACTTCCCTTTATGTTCCGAAATTTATTACTCGGCTCTAACGGTTATAAGTTCTGCTTCTCATGAGGTGATTCAGATTATTGCGGACACAACGATCGAGAATGGGCGGCGCATCATTTCGTTCAAGCCTCATGTTAATGTGACGAACCATCTTGAAATTCCCATGGAGTTATACGCGAAAAATGGTTCAAACTTGGACTTAAATGGTTCAAACTTGGACTTGTTTGGAACAGTCGCTCCGGGTGAAATTCTCTACGCGAAAAATGGTTCAAACTTGGACTTGTTTGGAACAGTCGCTCCGGGTGAAATTCTCCAACTGGCTGTCCCACTTCTGTATTCCCCAACAGGAGAAATTTTCTTCAGACCAGCTAACGACAAGTAAGAGTTACAAATGTTGTGATGTAGTCAAGTAATCTTTTTGGAACTCTAGCGTTCATTGTATTCCGAGTTGAAGGCTTTCCAGATGTGAAGTCAGCTTTGAATCAGTCACTTGGCATAACTTCACGCACAATCGAAGACAAATGATCAGATGTGACTTGAGCGAAGATACCACTCAAGGGTACTTTTTCGAGACTGTTGTGCATGAGGAACGAGTACGTGAAGGTAATGATGTAATCCCTTTTTCATATTTGTTGGCTCTTCTACGCCACCTTTTCCGATCATCCTCCTTCAATCACTTTTTCCTTGTTTACTCTCTTCTCATTATTTTATGCTTCGTTTTCGGTTATTCGTACCTCCTTGCATTCTACCTTATTAATGAGGTTTTCATCTGAAACTACTTGTAAGATCTAGTCGATTACTTTTATGGTAAAGGCAATCGCCAATGACGACGAACATCGCCAATGACATACAACTTGTTCCTGAAGATGTGTTAATTTAGGAATCGACCAGCAAACTGAAATGTATTCGATGCATATTTATCCTCCAATGCAATTCCACAACATTCTTCCATTCCCGATTACAATAGAAATGCCAGTTGCATTGGATTTGCAGCCAGGAGATTGTACCCTACTCAATATGATCCCGGGCCATCGCCTACGACTTTGGGTTGGTCCAATCTCTATTTCTATTTTTGTTTTTGTGATTTATCTTCGTAGATGAGCCTCTCGAATGTTCGCATTTCAGGCGCCTTATCTAGGGGAAATGTACTCGCTTGATATGAAGATTCCGGAAGTCAAGAAGGACCTCGAAGTGGTTGCGCTGAACACCGACAGTGGCTCGTCGGAGCTTGTAGGTTTTTACATTTGAGCTTCATCAATTATGCTGTATAAGGCAAAAGTTAAGATTTCTTTCGAATTCAAAGGTCACCCGGAAAAACATGAATTTTATCAAAAATTTATTGTTTATTGTTTATTACATTTAGATCTTTGCATTATTCAGCCTATTTTTTCGTTTCTTACAGCTCCTTGGACTGCACTGGAGTACGGACCACGGGGATTTGAAGGTGTATCTGTACGCTCCATTCTGGATGGTGAACAATACTTCGATGACACTCAAACATATGGTGGGCTCAATGCTGCCTTTCCTATACTTTTTCTATCCCATGAACTAACAGTTTCCCTTTAACTACATATAACCGTGGGACCATCGGTCACGCACAGCTACCATTTCGTGCCCATTCTAGGAATGTGGCGGGAGCTTCCTGAAAAGCACGACACAATGTGTGCCCTGCAAAAAGGCCCAGCCTTCAGAACAGGTGAACATATGTAGTGCGGTCATTGCGATCGGTATCGGAGTCGGGGCCTTCTGTTAAATGGGCGCTAAGGTCAATCTGAAATGGAGTTCGTGTCTTACAGATGGTCGTTCCCAAACTCACCAGCCAGTGACGCATGCGGTCGCGGCGCGGTAATCTGTAATTTGAGGTATAGTTCATCAGCGCGTGTCAATCAAAGGCACAGTTCACGATAATTTCGAGGTTTCTAGTTTGAGACGATTAATCAAAGTGAGAGCCTAGAATACCGCAAGATTAACGGAGAATTCGGCAATATCGACGTATTCAGAGGAACATATGGCTTCAAAAAAGTGACAAATTCACAGATTGGACGAGAATATGACGTCAAAAGCTGCATGGAAAGGGTATTCGGACGAGTTGTCCAAATTTATGTGCCATTGCGTACAGCTGGCTGCAGTAAGCTCCCTGCGTGCAACATGTGCGTCACGGTGCAGATGGTGCATCCTCTACAGCCTCTACAATGCCGTGAAAACTCGTCCACCTAGGTGTGTACGTCGGCTGAGCCATTGGCCGCGGTTTGGGGCTCTCACTGCGTCTTATCCACTTCAATTTTCAACCCGACAGTGTCCCTTGTGCTGCACTAGGGGTTCAACGGTTCATCCCAGGGAGAAATCTCTGTTATCGTGAACTGTGCCTTTAATGAAATGTTCTGTGCTGCTGCCGAAGGCGTTTTGAGTTCTGAAGCCTCAGGTCACAATTATCTGAAAGACATGGACTGAATTTATTAATTTTTGCAATTTTCTAGCGCCCACCACATGTTGATCCCGACCCCGATCAAGAGTTGAGTTGCTGATGATGTGGTAAAGATCGTGCATGACTCTTCAAGCTTTTTTTCCGCACAATTCTTGCTTGATTCACAAACCTCGATCTGCTTTCTGTGTTTTCCTGTCTGACTCTGAGTAGAAGCTTTTAGAATGATTATACTGGTAGGCATGCAGTAGTCATGTGTTGAGCAGATTTCGCACTCTATAACTGCTTCATCACCGCAGTAATCCTGACCACAATATTTATATTATTGTTTTAGGAATTAGAATATGCCGTAAAGCACCTTGCCGAGGAGAATCCTCTGATTCTCCCATTCCCCAGCACCGACTTCACACACAAGAAAAAGGTATGTTCTATGGGGATTCAAAGCAATGTGGCGGCTACTGGTACAAACATCGATAGGCTAATGCAGTCAACTTCACTTTTCCTCCGTTTATCGGAGCTGACGGCGTATCAAGCTGACGAGGAGGGGTCTTAGCCTTTCACATTGCGACCATTTTAAATTTAGTATAGGGACCTGTACAACCTAATTACAGTCTCGTGTGTTGGTGGATGAACCAGGCTGTCAATGGTCGGAAGAACTCCCACTTGATACGGTTGGTAACCCGGCTAGAGTCGTCTGCAAAGGAAAAGACCGAGATTATGAGGTGAGAAGTTTTTGATATCTGCCCCCTGAAATCGAGAAAAAGCTCTGTTCCAGTTAACTGTCGACATCAAATTGTGCCAGTCGGGATTGACAAAGATCGTTTCATTCTGCCCATTCTTCTTGGTCTCGAATCTCAGCAAATGGGATATGGAAGTCAAAGAAGAAGGACAGAGCACTTGGGTCAGAGTTCCGGCTGAGAAGGTTTGTTCAACTTAAGTTTTTAGTTCTCGGGGTGATTTGTTCGAATTGTTACGTACTATAGAAGTCGTAGATGAACTAGATATAGATGATTAGGTGGGTGGTGATTGGGTGACTAGGTTTAGGTCCGTACTAAACTTGCCAGGTGAATTCCACCTGAACATTTTGGTAAACAACATATTGCGCATGTAGGCTCGCGTCATCACGTTTGTAGGAGCTTTTCCCTTATGTCGCGAGTTGCCATTACGGATAATTTTGCTACCCTTACTAAAAAGCAAGTTGGGCTACTTATCGTCTTATTGCCTACTTGGCAAACCTATACCGGGCCTTAGCTCCCCTCATTCGGTAGCGAATACGGTACTGATCACGCAAAGGTGTAGAGATCGGAATACTCGACGCCGCAGATTTCCTCGAGAAGCATTATCGGATAGGCTCGGTTACAATCGACATGTAGCTTTAAATTAGCAGTTGGCTGCATCTACGCCAAGTATAGACGTAACTCAGAGGCGGTGAAATTGCTGTGGGCACCACAAGCATAAAGCGAACATGAAATTCTCCAATTCTTTGGTAGATTACGGATGTGAGCCCACTTGTTGACAAATCATCAATGGAGTGGCGGGGGTAACGCTTAGGTATGTATGCTTCCCCACCTTGTATACCCAATGCTGCTCTCAGATAAAGAGAGGCCATAAAATCAGCTGATATTTTGTGTTGCGCTTGACAGTTTTGGTCCACCTTACCTAAGGGACCACCAATTTTTTTGTGTGGTGATTCGAGACGATCATTTTTTCAAAGGTCTCAGTCGAATTTTATTTTAGTGTGTGGGGATATGGCCGCAACAGAACTCGAAGCGAAAGTTCTTGTGCGCGAGGTACGCAGGGCAACAGCAAGAGTCAATATTGTTCCCGATCACCGAGAACTTCGAGACACTTTGTCATGTAAGTGGTTTTTGGGAATTCTTTTTCCGGTCTTTCTCCATATTGATTCTAAGGCCTCCTTATTCAGCTCGATAATGACCAAGTTGGAATAGAGGTATGTGTATCCACATCTGATTCGTCGGTCTCCGTCCATTTATCCCCCTTCCAACAAGGAATGGCTCCAGTGTGTGTGATGAATAGTCTCAAGGTAGGTCTCACTTGATACTACACTTTTCATTTAACCATAAATAATATCTCTGAAGTTGCTGACATTTTCCAAGTTCAGATGCCTGTCACATTCGGACAAAAGGGGCACGAGATGAAGACGATTAATAGTAATGAAATGATGTACTTTACGTGGTCCAGTGTTACAAGAGACAAAATAATGGAGGTGAGGTTCATTATTCTTTCTCAAGGGGCTGTTTTATCCGGGGTCCTTGGCAGCTCCAATGAATTCTTATAGTAAGTACGGTCTGTCCTGGTTAGATTCATGCTAATAGCAGCTTAACTGCTTGTCTCAGTCATTGAAGCTGGTAGCGTAGCTTTCTTCTTTCTATATTCTTATCAAAATTTATTTACGCTTTGTTTATGCTTTCAATTCTATAGACCTTTTTTGGCTTGCCCACACCGCTTCACGACCTTAGACATGAGAAAGTCCAAAGAAGCTTTGAGTATCTTTCAAAGAGCTTATAGTTCTTCTCACAAAACTACCCCACTAGACGATTGTTCGCGTGTAGCAGATATTGTACTCGTGCGTACAAAATCTTCCCCAAATTGTTCCCTGAGCTGTGGAAAAGGTTGCTCGGGAGCTAGATTGGAGCCCTATTCCATTCAAAAGCTGCAGTGCTGCCCTGCTAGTAATAGCACCCTGCAAACTTTTTGAATTGAGTTTTCATAACTAGAAAGCTTATCGCAAAACTCTCAGAGGGGCGATGTCTGGGAGTGGTGGGAGCGATGACATGTGTGTTACGTTTCCTTTATATCTCCTGCTCGATTAAAATCTTTCATCCTACTGTTTTGCTCATCTATTTTTGCTTTTATCCGTATCCGTATGGTCTTCCCTCGGCCGTTCTTCTTGATCGATGCCGGAGTTTTTTTTATTGTGATGAAATTTGATATTTTCAGTATAAAGTTGGAAACCATACCGGTGAGGATAGACTTGACCAGAATCATTTTGCCGATCTACAGCCGGACCCCAATGTTAGAAAGTAAGCTGGCTAAGTTCGAAGTTCAGTTAGACTGTGATGGGACTTGGAAGTCATTTAGTGTGTCTTTAGGTTCGTATATATCGCCAACTTCCTGATAGGAAGGCAGCGGATAATGCTGTTTACTAATGACTTGGACATTGCCCGTTCTGCTTATGGATCGTGGGAAACGGATATGGTTGATATGCAAGTCGAATTAGCGCTTCAAGGAGTGGGCATATCCATCGTGGACAACAATATTGGCAAAGAGGTAGCCAACCAGTCATTGATCCAAAAAATCACTTTCGCTCTGAAATTTGCCGTTCTTCAGATACTGTACATCGGAATTTCGTCATCGGACATCCTTTGGGAAGAGGAAGTCAAAAAAGGGCGATTCAAACCGTTTGCAGTCAAGATGATGCAAGCGCTAGAAGAGAAATATCAGGAGCATCTTCTTGCGCCGACGAATGAATATCACGTATGATCCTTGATTACCACAGACTATCAACGAGAATATTTCAATACTTCGGCTTTACAGCAAGTTGACCAGTTTGAAGCCTCATTTGAGTACATGATAATGAAGAAGAAAAAGGGTAAAGAAGTGAAAATTCGCCGAATATTTGAGAAAGGTAGGTCCATTGCTACTGTTATTCTACATTGTCGTAGCGAGTGCTAGCTCTCAGTAGAATCGTTGATCGCTCTAACTTTTCCCATACTCTACTCGAGCGATCCTATCTTCGCCTACTTCTTTTAGTGGGCGCTTCCGGATTATTGAGCTTGAAGAGAATGGAGGAAAGGATGTTACTGACTGGTTTCCCTGTCTTTGTCTAAGATTTCGAATCAGAAAAGTCATCTGTACAGCATCTAGCAGCAGTCCAACAAGAGCTAGTTGGATAACTTCTGAGGCGGGTTGCTCCTAGGAAAGGGGTAAAAGCTGTAAACGAACGATAATTCGGTACCTCTTAAAGGATTTTTTGTTATATCCATTTTATTTGGGTCAGAAGGCTCCGTCACTCCCTCCCATATGATTCACCGGCCTCACTGAGTTCTCCAACGTTCGTCCGGATAAGTACGAGATCATGTTCTGAGGGAGGAACCGAGGATTCGCCCTGAAAAGAACAAGCTTGACTCTGTACCCAGTAAGCAGTGTTGTTCATCATTTTTTAGGTATCTGGGCTAATTACGGAAAGAGTGCAGAGCGAACACGACTTCATTTGAAAATCAATCATGTGCAGGTTGACAATCAGGTATGTTTGTAAATTTAATTTGATTCAATAATTTTAATATAATTAATTTAATAACTCTAATTTAACTTTTGGATCACGGTGTTAAGAACTTGTGAATTTATGTTGATATCCGATTTTCCTAAAGAAAAAGTGAAATTTCCAGAATGACCCTGAGAGGTTGTTTATTTGAATTGCAGCGCGCAAAATCGATACATATTCTTATACAAGTGTGTGGCTCGTGATAGCTATTTTTCGATTAACAAAGGTAGAAACAATGCATGATTGAGATGTTCCTTTTTCAGCTCGAAACCTGCGTTTTCCCGCGAGTCCTGGCAAGAGTTCCACCTCCAAAAAGTATTGTAGCGGATAATGGTAGGTAATTATAGATATCAAGCGATCCTGATGTTTTCGTAGTTCGACATTTTGATTTTGATGCTACCTTTCCAAATGTCAATTCCAGCTCCGAAGCCATTCCTCGAGTTGTCGTTCTTACAAAGGCAGTCAGAATTCTCAACAGTACCTGAAGTGGAATACGCTCGAGTTCTGATCCAAGAATTTGCCGTACAAGTAGATCAAGGTCTTATCAATGCCCTTTTGGCGTTGATTGCGTCAGAAGTCAACAAGGAAGCTTACTCGGTAAGATTCGATACTAACCGCGTCCGCAGTGTATGGTGTGGATGGATCGTTACAGCTTATTTTAATAACTGTGTGTTGTCGATCTACTGATCGCGTCGCTACCGCTCGCTTTGTTGCAGTCATTTATAGCGGCATTTGTGTGCTTAGTAAAAGTATTCATTTCAGAGGGGACCATTCGAAAGCGATATGGCAACAGCTATGGTTCGGTTAGAAGACACTGCCCAGCAGCATCGATCACAAAAACCAAAAGCCTTTTATAATGATCTGCATATTTCACCGCTTATGGTAACTACTACTTTATTTTGATTTTCTTGTTTACTTCACCTTTTGTCAACAATGGTCAAATCTGGTTCGGGCATGATGACGTTTTTGATTCTGGACAAGTTTTTAGCAACCCATAGAGTTACTCTTTGGGTGGTGATTGCGTTCGTTGCTCTTTGGTACGTGGGAGCAGTCATTCGGTTTTAACAGAGTTGGTATTCCATCCGAAGGCTATCATCTGAATGATTCGGCCTCCAAACACTGCATCAAGCACTTGGCTAATCTAACCCTACTTGGCCGATTTATTGTGGCTTCTCCGGAGGGTGGGGACGGATCCGCAAAATTATTTTCCATGCTATCCTTGATTTTGTCAAGATTTGAATGCCTTTACGATATTGATTGGTAACAGTTCATTCTGGATAGAGCTTTTTCTAATTGGCTTCAAACCGTTCAAATTCAGATCCATCTTTCCTTCTCCATTGGCGGAACCACTGGTGAAACCGAAAGCGGAGCAGCGATGCCCATTCAATCCGAGTTCTTCAAAGTTCTGTTCCAGAGCATAGGAGTTTCTGTCACTGAGCTTCAGGATGTAGTCTTCAAGTATGCTAGTGTTTTCCCATTTTTTCTTTTTATTTCTTTATCCTTTTCGATTTTCGTTTTCGTTCGTTGAATTGATAGAGAAATGAGTTCCTTTTGCAGACTTGCTTACTTCGAACGAAAATGTGTATTCTATTCTACTGATCAACTGAATAGTGAAATAATTTCGCATTACACCAAGCAGGCATTGCGTCAGGTAAGCCTTTTGGACAGGGCCTATTGCTTGGGGAAGACGATATTAAAGAATAAATTTTGATGTTCGTTTAACAAAAAAATTTAGATGTACGTGCTGGTTCTCGGCTTGGATATTATCGGTAATCCGTTCGGTCTAGTACGAGATCTTTCGGCTGGAGTTGAAGATCTGTTCTATCAACCGTTCCAAGGACTCATTCAAGGTCCAGAGGTACTGTTCGAATATTCTTAAATATTTTTTATTCTTTTCGGTGTACAATGCTATATGGACACTACCCCACATTGTAATCATTGACATGAACGTTTAAAGTAAGAAAGTGGAATAACTCAAGGGGGAATCCGAATCAAGCCTTAGGGATATCAGTAGCATGTCGGGAATAGTGATGAGCAAAATTATCCGTAGATTTATTTAATTTGAAAAAAGTAATTATGAATTGAGCGGAGGTGGTGTAGTGGCAAGTGGCGCCATGTCCCACACGCATGGTCACCGGTTCGAATCCCAGTCGATGGGCCAACCAAGCATTTCACCCCTCCAGGGTCGAATAATTGGTACCACACTTGTCCGGGAAGATAAAAGCACTGACTTGTATATCTGCAGGCCACCACAAGTCATTGTGTAGTGTACATACGCATTCATTACGCCACAACGATTCTGAATGGAAGTCGAATATGGGGGCAAATCCCTCAGACGGGATTGATTAATGCCAAAAGTTTTTTTTAGACTTTATTTCGAAATTGATGTAAACAAGTCTCTACGCTAGGCTACTTGATGCAACCACTTGAGTGCTAACTTAGAACAGACGGAGTAAATCAGCGAACCGCTAAGACATAAACACCCTACATGGACATCCGTTAGATCTCTTCTGTGTAAACACATTCTCAATGTTTTTAACCCTAGTTGCTATCCATCAGCTGGGGCTGATTCCAGAAATAGCTGGTAGTCTTGGACTTTGGAGTTTTTCCTTATGGGGGTATCAGCAGGCCTTGAGCTCACTCGCCTCCACCGATCTCGCTGTGCTGTCTGTTTTTTTATCACTTAATGGGAGTGTTCAAGGGATCCACCAATACTTTCCTAATTTCTATCAAAATGCTTCCAGGAATTCGCTTCGGGTGTTGCCTTGGGTGTTCAGTCGATGTTTGGACATGCAGTTGGTGGTGCAGCCGGTGCAGTTGGTCGAATTACTGGAACTGTAGGTAAAGGTATCGCAGCGCTTACATTCGACCAGGAATACCAGAGGAAGCGTCAGGTGAACTTTTATGAGGCTCAAAAACTTCAGTAATGTGGGTAATATCGCAATATCTGACTTCAGGAAGATTTGAACCGTCGCCCTCAGACATTTGGCGAAGGAATGGCGAGAGGAGTGAAAGGCCTTGGTGCAGGCGTCATTGATGGTATAACCGGTATTGTGACGAAGCCGATTGAAGGCGCTAAACGAGAAGGTGGTCTGGGATTTGTCAAAGGTGTTGGAAAGGTGAGATACTAGGTTTATTAGTTGTTTATTTATTTGTTCCTATTCTTCTATTTACAGCTTTTCTTCTAGATTTGTTTTGATGTAATTTCTTAGGGTCTCATCGGAGTTGTCACTCGACCAGTATCTGGTGTAGTCGACTTTGCCAGCAGTACAATGCATTCAGTACGACGGGTAGCAGGAGCAAATGAAGCTGGAGCACTTCGTCCTCCACGAGTGATACGTCCCGATCATATCATTCGACCATACAGCTATCATGATGCACTGGGATTCAAAATCTTCAATGTAAGTTTGGAACTTTTATGGAAAAATTCGTAGGATTAAAAAGAAATGGCTGGGTTGCTCTGGTTGTATTCAGAGTCAGGCTTGGCGTCGAGAGAAACTGCCCTTCATTACGGCTCTCTTGCCGCTAAATGTGGTTCTCGACATTCCTAACTAACCCATCTTTGAATTTTCTTTCCCATCCTTAGTTCTCGGGGACAAACTGATTTGATACCTTTACGGACTGTAAGAAATTACACTTCTGCTTAGCTGCTGAAAGAGCTGCAGCTATCGAGTGCAGCTTATTTCCTTGACTGAAGCTAATTCGATGCCATATATATAGAGGAGTAATGCGGTATAGTAGCAAGTGGCGCGCTAGCGCACGCGGGCGAACCCGCCCAGACTGAACAAGTCTTCCATTCATTCAATGTATCTCAGTTGATGCCAGTCTCGTCCAGGAGGGTAAAACTCGAACCCTCTACATCGGCCTCCACCGCAAGTCATTGTTATCACGTTGATCACATACGCATTCATAAAGCCATTGGGACTTTGAAGGGGAGCCAAATACGTGGGGCGCTTCCTAAATTTTCATGTACTCACACACCCCCGCAGAATGAGAGGAGAATGTGCGGGTGGATTTCAAAGCTAAATAGACTGATACCAATGCTCTCCTGCCCTCCTGTTGTCGCAGAATTGATTATATTGACCAGGAAATCGAGAGTGTTTTTGATATTGTGTGGTTATAGGACACTGATCGAGGAGAGCTTGCTGGAACCGATGAATACATCACTTATGCGCAAATCACGGACAAAATCGTCTTGTTGGTTACCAATGCACAACTGGTAAAGCTTATATTTATAGTAGATTTAAAAAATAAGAAAGCGAGCTTGCTTCAATTGTCAGTGGTTTTCTGATCGTTGAGGAATTTGCTGGTTATTTGCCATTTAAATGCTTTCTTCTCCTTCCAGGTTCTAGCCAAGCGTACGGATCTAATGGGCACGTGGGCCACCGATTGGCAGACGGAGTATGACAAAATGAAGGAGCCGATTTTCGTCGAGAAGGGAATCAAAATTATTCTCAAGGTAAGGCTTTTCTTTTTCAAATCAGTATGTTTGTACTGGGCTCTTTCCTACCCCCTGTTCGATTATGGTATTCCATTTCAGGAGAAGAAACGTGGATTTTTGGGAATTGGTTCAACTGAAGGAAAGATTATAACCTTCGACAATGCCGAGGTATGTTGTTTGTAAGCCCTAATTTTAGTTGATTCAGGAAGGTTCATTGGAGTAGTCAGACCTCCACCTAAGGTTGTAAATGTATTTGGATTGGTGTTCGGTATACTTCTGATGCCCTGATTCAACACTTGCTGTAAATGGCGTTTTTCTCCAGACAAAGGAGCCAGGCTCTGTATAGTCGACCCCCAAAAGAACAGGGTACTTGTCGGGGTGCCCTGAAGGGCACCTTTTGTCCCTGCTCTAATTTTGCTGCCTTTACTGCCTCTTAGTAGATTACTGGACTTTAGTTCGATTTTCCTGATATGACCGAGTGGGTTTTTAAACTTCTTAGCTACGATGCTGTTTCCGCCCAGATCCGGGTTCATTAACCCCGCCTTGTCCCATTATGATTCAGGAGTAGTTTTTGTTGTCTTGTTCTTTCATGATCAGAAGGGGAGGAGCATGTATACGCGTGCGTTTGCGCTGCGCATTATGCCGATCGACTTGTCCTTTGGATGCCTTTTTATGAGCTTTTAGCGATTTCATCGAAGATTGCAGCAGCACGGCTTTTCGTCCTCCTTACCTGTTCAACAGACAACCGAATTCCTGAACAATTCTGAATTGAGTGCGGGATCTTTAGCCCGAACGGCATGACGCGTTCGGGTTGCAACCGATTGCGCGCACTGAAGGGTATAATTTGGTTCTCCGGTGCGGTTATGGTAGTAGAAGCGGGCCGTGGGAATTCAGGTACAAAGGGCCGTCATCCTCCTGAAGTGAATGCTAATTAAATGGGACAAGGGTATGTAGGAGGAGCTCCAAAGTCCTTTCAGTTTGTTTCTTTGCATTTGAATTGTTTCGAGGGCTGATGGGCAGCAATGCGGTACGGTATGCTATTGTCAGTTTAACGCTGTGAAGCACGCTGTACGGTATTCTTCACCGTCAGTCTTAAGGGCCTTCGAATGCAGCAGTTCGTGCTTTTCTCATCGTCATTGTCACTTTTTCCCATCGTCCTTTTCAAGGAAAGGGGGGGGGGGGGGGGAAG